CAGCCACGGGGTGCCTGAGGCCGATGGCACATTTCTGCCCAATGCCAAAGATGTCCAGCCTACACAGTAAGGCCTTCAGGTCTTGCACTGAGAGGAGGAAGTACTGTACCCTAACCTCCCAGGAGGGCAGGCCATGACTAGCTGACATGTTCCTGTAGTATATAAGGCTCTACAGGCCCCGGGACATGGCTGGAGCCTAGGTCTGGAGAGTTGTAGGTTAGACCAGGCAGTGTGAGGTTCACATTCAGGGGCCAGAGGGGCTGGGAGGGGGCCAGGCATCTAAAACTTTGACCTAAAGAGTAATGTTTTAGATTTAAAGCGATTCAATCATTTTTTGTAATATGCTGGAAAAAATATTATAAAGCACATTCATTATTGTAGATCAAAACCCCTATCTTGGGAGACTGAGGCAAGAGGATTGAGTGTTAGACCTTAGTGTTAGACCAGGACGAAAAGAAAAGACCACTGACTCCAATTAAAGTCAAATTAAAGCAAGCTAATCATTTCGACTGGCCGGGCTGCCTCTCCCGACAAAAACCACGGGAACAAGACAGCACCGCAGCTTTCCTGCAGCCCAGCTTTATAGCCCAGAAAGTTACACAAAGGGGGGGTTACAGATAGCAAAACTCTGACGAGCACAACACAAAGGCTAGTTTATATTTTTGCTGGCCCTGACATCAGAATTTATGAAGGTCATTAGAGCCTCAAAGAGGGCTGCTGTCTGGTCAGGGAAAGCCAGGCATGGGTGAGTTCAAGGCACGGGCAGGCATTCCAAGCAAGTTCAGAATTCACAGTAATTTATAGTAAAGCAGAAATTAGCTTTTTATGTCTTTGCGGTGAGATGGCTCCAATTTTAAGAGGGAATCAGACTGGGTTTATCATTAGCAACCTAGTAAGACCCTGTCTCAAAATAAAAAGGGCTGGGGATTGTACGTAGCTCAGTGGTGGAGCACTCGTCTCTCACATGTGGGGCACTGGATTCGGATTCGCTCCTTAGTACCACATAAAAATAAGGGTAGTATGTCCATCTACAACCAAAGGAAATTACAATAATGAAGGGCTGGGATGTGGCTCAGTGTTTAAGAGCCCTGGGTTCAATCTCTGGTGCTAAAAATAAAATAAAATTGGCGATTTTCAAAGTCAACTAAATGCAAATGAAACAGGCTGAGTCTAGAGGGTTATTCAGGCTTTCCCCTGTTTCACCTTGTCCTCTTTCCTAGACCAGACAGCTTTCAGGGCAGTGCTTAAGTGTAAGAGGGAGGGTGGGTGGAGACAGGCAAGATCTCTCAAGGGGTCCCTGATCTGGCATTGTTCACCTCCACCCACCTGCCCTTCACCAGGGCAAACCGCTAGGCCAGGTGCAATGTGGCAGAGAGGGGAACTACCTCAGCCCTGGTGAAACCACATGGAGGCCCGGGTGCCGGGAGCTGTGGGGACTGAGGCCTGCAGTCCAACCTATCACATCATCTGTTGAGACCCACCTGTCCACCTTCCAAAAGCCTTCTAGTAACACTGCTGGCCAGGGCTCCTCCTCTAATCCATGTTGGCGCTCAGAAACAAGACCCCCACATATATGACTTCTGACCTCAAACCAACAGCGCCTGGGGGACAGAACATGCAAGGAAGGGCCATCTCCTGTGTCCCCGCCGACCTGAAACCCAGAGTCTTAAGGGAATCCCTTGTCCGTGGAGCTCTTCAACTGCAGGGACTGGTCAACTCCCGTTAAGCTGACCTCATGGACATTTAAACTTAAGGCAGTGTCACCAAAAGCTCGGTTCTTGTCCCCAAAACCATTCAAATAGTAAGGACACAGTTTGGAGAAAAAAGGAAAAAGACTATTTATTGCTTTGCCCCCAAGGCTATGATTCTGCCATCAGCAGGAATAGGGGGCTTTTATAGAGATGATTCAGAGAAAATCAAATTAAGGAGGAGAGATCAGGAAGGAGAAGAAGGTTGGAAAAAAGAAAACAAAACATGTAAGATTCAACGCCGCAAGGGATATAGTCAAAGCATCAAAACGAACCCTGTTACAGCAGGTGCTTGGATTATAATGATTTTATAATCCCTTCATGCTGGCTTCCAATAAAAAAATCATCTAAATCTAAAAACCTGTAGTCTAGAAGTGTAATTTTAGCTCTTTCAGAATTGAAAGGGACAATAAAGGGAATAAATAGGAGCTGGTGATGGAGCTGGCTGGTGGAGCACATGCTCACACATGTGAGGCCCCAGGTCAATCCCCAGCACCACACACGCACACGCACACGCCTGTGGGTCTGAAAGGCAGCTCAGGCTCTGCTGGAGAAGGGAAGGCAGCCCTGGCCAGTCACTCAGTGGAACTGGGGTTCCCCACTTTCCACCTACATGGCTTCATGGCTTCACACACCACCATGCACAAAGACTGTTCTGTGAGTGACGAAGGTGACAGACCACCTGTAACCCCTGCAGTGACCACCTGGACCCTCAGCCGTCCCCACAACCAGCCAGAGCAGCTGCGGCCCCTCCAGCTACGCCTTCTCTGCTGTTCCTCTGGCTTCCTCCTGTTTTTCCCCCTCCTCTTCCTTCTCCTACCCCCCCCCACATCTTTCTGTTAGTTATGGGGATTTCTTGCTTGTTTTTTTTTTCTTTTCTTGTATTATGGGTTGAAACCTGGGTGTTCTATCACTGAGCTACCCCATCCACACACACTTTTTGAGAAAGGCTCAAATAAAAACCTGTGGCCCAGGCAGACCTTGAACACAGGATCCTCCTGCCTCCACCTCCTGAGTAGCTGGATTACCAAGGGCAACGCTGTGCCCAGCTGCTCCTCCTGCTTCCTAATAAAAAGCACTGGGACACCGAGTCCTAGAATTTACCCCTAGTTCTTGACAGCATTCATGCAGAGCAAAGCCCTTGCTTCCTTAACTATCCCCTAAATCACCGGCTACAAGCCTTCCTCTTATAAGAAATTCTTCCCTGTTCTCTGAGTCAGACTCTTGCTTCCAGTTCTGAGGACCCCTCCACAGGGTATGGGATTCATGCAGCTCCCAGGACTCCCAGGAGCCCACCTGAAGGGGCAGCAGTCAGAACCCCACTGCCAGCCTGCGGGCACTCACGCTACCTGCCCCAAAGTTGGCCCTGGACTTCCATTTCCCAGGGCTTCCATTTCTGAAGCCAAAAGGAACTTCCTGCAGCATTCTAAGAAAAAGAAGAAAAAAAACTGAAACAAAAAGCATGTTCATGATTTTTTGATCATTTTTTGACAATCAGCTATTCACAGAAGGGAACAGTTGCTTCATTGTCTGTTTTATGAACACAGCCATCTTCCTTCCCACATCGTAACACAAACCATTATTAGTTCAGTTTCATTCATTGGAAGTTGGAGCTTTTCTCCCAATTATCATAAACAATAAGCATTTTAGGAAGCCTCTGCCGTTGTGTGAAGGCTACCTCTTCTTCACACTCCCACAGGTTCTGAGCCTCAGGACACGTGAAAGTGAGAAGCCTTTGACAGCTTTTCCAACCTTGAAGAGCACACAAAGAAAAGGCACCAGGCTAGTTGTTTCAACCTCTTCCTGGGAACCAGCAGTTCTCTTGGAAGAGACATTTCTGTTTCCTCAAGTGGCCTGAGGGCATATTGTGGCTGATAATTTGGAGGGAGGGAATGTGTTTGGGTGGACAGCAAGGGAACAGGCCTGGAGCTGGTATTTGAGACCAGTGAGAGTCCTTCTCACTCTTCTCACTCTCTCACATTGCTCAGCCTCCTCCCTCTCTGTCTCCTCTCTCTCCTTCCCTGCAGGCCATTCCCATGCACACTGATGGCTCCCTGCACCTCTAGAATGTCCCCAGTGAGTGGCGAGATTTCAGTTCTCTTCCCCCTCTATGACAATTCTGACTTGGGGGTTTACTAGTCCTACCCAGTCACTTAGGATCTGCAGCAAAACGGAGCCCATGATACTAGCCCAAGTGTGCCCACGCCCTTTACTGGCTCTTCCCTGACCCTGTAATGCCAGATTCGTGGGACCCCAATAGACTTCCAGGAGCCGAATCCGATGCAATCACAAAAGAGTCTATTTCAAGCTGGAGCCTGGACTCTCAACCGTTCCCCATGCATCAGTCCCAGGGAGTGAGTCCCCGGTCATTTGTCCAGTGAGATTTTATAGGTTTTGGGTGGATACTCTATGTGTCACAACATCACACAGCAAATCATTCCACTCTGTGGGAAAGTCAAACAACAACTCTTAACATTGATTAGCACATTCACTGGCGGGAACAAGTTGGGTAGGGGTGACTGGTTAGTACAAGAAGGGGTGCCTTTGAACTGATTGGTTTAGGCCACGAGAAGAGTACGTGCTGAACTACATGGTTTCCCAACATGTTATCAACCACCATAAACTACTGGGGGGTCATCTGGCATCCCAGGTATTTCCCTGTCTCATGCTGATTGGAGGTTACTAGGGGGTTGCTATGGGTCCTCACTTAGCCTGAGTCAGGGACACCTGCTGCAGCAGACCTCTCCTATTATTTGTAGATAAACAACTCAGCAGGTGGGTATGTGCCTAGGAGTGCTCCATGGGTTTTTCCAAGCCCTTTCCTTGGACAGGCTTTGCTCTGAGGTAGAGGCTGATTTCTCAAAAATGGAGTCACAACAGTTTCTCAACCCGTTTCTTCAGTTCCTCACAGTGTTCTGGGTGATCACCCCCCCACACAAGATTAACTGCACCAGAATCTTTGTCTCAGGGTCTACTTTTAGGGGAAGCCAAACAACGACAGACATGCCAAGGAAACGCAGTGGCAGCTGTGGTGCTGGGGACTGGGGCCTTGTGCATAAGGCACGCACTCTACAAAGAGCGATATCCTGAGCCCCCAAGCGACTGTGATTCTGGTGGTCAGGGGAAACAGAGAGTTTTATTGTTTTGTTTTGGATTTGGTCTTTTTTTGGGGGAGGGGTACCAGAATTGAACCCAGGTACACTTAACCACTGAGTCGCATCTCCAGACCTTTTTATTTTTATTTTGAGACAGGGTCTTCCTAAGTTGCTTACGCCCTTGCTAAGTTGCTGAGATTGGCATCAAACTTGTGATCCTCCTGCCTCAGCCTCCTGACTATAATCCCTCCAACTGTCTAGGATTACAGGTGAGCACCACCACACCCAGCATACAAATTATTCTTAAACATAAATTGACCAAAATTGACAATACATGCATGAATTCAGATTTAAAGACCCCAAATATTTTATGATGATATCCATTTCCCCTAAATGTGAATAAGAAGAGCACTTCCTTTCTGATTGACATTCATATGTGCCGGATTTTCAAGCAAAAAGTGACACAGATTTGTGTTTGGGACCCTCATTCTCCTAGAAGTGTGGTGGGTACACTGAAGAAATCACCTTTTGTCTGAATCATAACCCTAATAAAAGGCAAACAGTGAAACTGGGAAGGACTTCTATCATAAACAAAATACAGTGTTGTAAACTTTAATTTCTAAACAGATGACACAGATTGGTAAGAAACAGCACCAAGATCAGTCTTTAAAATCGTGGGCAACTGGCCTGAAAAGCTCATTTCTGGGAAATATTTAATGGTAAGTTAGCACATGAAAAATGACCAGCCTCACTACCATATGAAGGCATAGCATAATAAAAAAATGATCTGATAAAATTGCCCATCCCCATGCTGGGACTCTGGGATAACTGCCCTTGACGCTGGCCAGGATCAGGCGAGGACACTCTGTTGAAGTGTGATATGATGGCTCCACATTTTAGAAGGGTTTTGGCAACAGACCCACACTGTGTGACCCAGTGACTCTATTTCTGGAAATTTACCAGGTGGTTTATCAGGAAGTTAACAACATTGTGAGCAAAGGCTTATGTATAAAGTACACTATTTTAATGGGAGAAAAAGAACAATCTTGACAATCATGCAACTATTAATGATGTTTCAAATTGTGCAGAAAACCTTTTTGATTATTTTTACCATCTCTATAAGGACACAATAAATACTGGAAGGAAATACACCAACATAAAGCTATCTTTAGTTTGTGGATTAAGGGTGATTTTCACTTTATAAAAACATTTTTCTATATTTTTCAATGTTTCCATAACATTAACAGGTTTAGTCCAAAATAAGGGCTTGCTGGCAGGAGGCGACTTTGGGCTGGGGGCTGAGTGACCCCTCCCCAACTGGCACCTTTCTGCCTTCCGTCAAGGTTGGCTCCCAGGATTGTGCCACCAGCCCAGTGGGTTCAGTGGGCACCCAGGAAGGAGAGGGCTGCCAAGCACCTTGGCTTCTGCCCTTCACTTATCAACTCACAGAATAATAACAGGGGAGCAGTTTGCCTTGTGCTGAGCCGGGATAGTGTGCTAAGCCCTTGGCCTGCTTGATCTCAGGTGCTCTGAAGGCCTCCAGCAGCCAGGGGACACAATCCACTAGGCATAGGAGGAGGATTAGCTGGAGAAGGTTTCATGTCTCTTTTCATGTTTCCTTGGCCCTCTTCCTTTTGCTTCCACCCGCTTTATTGAGTCCAACTCAACATGTCTATCCCGCTCTCTAAGGGAAGGGTGGCAGATCCATGGCTCCCCTCTCTGGAAACCCTTTTTTTCCAAAGCAAATTCAGCAGGCCAGCTGGCAGCAGGCTTCCCGAGGGCCCGCCCCCTTCCTTCTGCCAGGGCTTTTAACTTTTGCACCCGGGGCCATGACCAGCTTCTTCAGTTGGCAGCAGTGGCTCCCTGTGCCTTGTCCTCCAGGACCATCGGGTTGGTAGGTGTCCCCTGGTGTGAGCTGGGAGGGCACAGTTCTCTCCCTCCTGCTCCTTCCTCTGTCCCTGGCCGTAGGCCTTCCGAACTTCCAGAATCACCCCTTTCTTGCTCCATCTCCTCCCATCTTTTTCTTTGTTCTCCATTCCATTTCCTTTGTCTCCATGGCTTTATGTGTGTCATCATTTCTAAAAGCAAATAGCAAATTGTTGTATTGTGAGGAAGACTTTTCCTTCTTAATGCAGTGGTTCCAAGATTTGTTCCTTTATAATCAACTTATTGAAGGGCTCTATGAATCACGAGTCCCTTCTTAATACTAGGTGAGTTGGGGACCAAGGACCCAGATTGTTGTCCCTGCAGTGCTTGACCAAGCTTAGGGAGGTGTGCAGGCAGGTGCTGATGGCGAGAGGGGGCACAGCGGGCTTCAGCTGCGACCACTCCAGCCTTGGTTTGGGGGGGGCTGAGGAGCACGCGGTCTGCCCACCCATAGTTTTTTTCCTGAACATTCTTCTCCAGGCCGAAGCTCCTGGATGAGCGCATCAGCACCCTGCAGTCGCAGAAAGGTCAGCGATGGTCCGGAAATCCTGCCTCCCCAGGTGTCTGCTCACCCTCGTGCTCCTGCAGCTGCCCAAGCTGGATTCAGGTAGGTCTCCCTGCCCCTCGCTCTGTGTCCTGCAGGGTTGAAACGTCCCAGTACATGTAAAAGACACCATTTGGTTCCCCCAAGCCATGTCCAGCGGGCTGGATGGACCTGCTCAGCTTGTCGAGGGCATGGAGGCCCTGCAGGGGCCTGTGATCCTGGGCTGCATCGCCCCCAGTCTCATCGCTCTGACTCCGCTCGCTCTGACAGCTCACTTTGATGTGATGGGGCCCCCGGAGCCCATCCTGGCCATGGTGGGAGCAGACGCCGAGCTGCCCTGTCACCTCTCCCCAAACGTGAGCGCCGAGCACATGGAGCTGCGGTGGTTCCGACGGACGCCGTCGCCCGCCGTGTTCCTGTACCAGGCGCCGCAGGAGCAGGAGCGGGAGCCGGAGCGGGAGCTGCTGCCAGAGTACCGCGGCCGGGTGGCGCTGCGGCGCGACGACATCGCCGCGGGGCGCGCGGCCCTGCGGATCTGCGGCGTCCGCGCCTCGGACGAGGGCGAGTACCGCTGCTTGTTCAGGGACAACGCCAGCTACGACGAGGCCATAGTGCACCTCCGAGTGGCAGGTGAGAGGCAGCGGGGTGACGGCCCGGGACCCCCGTGGTGAGCGGGTTACTTCGGGAACCACGCGGTTCCTTCCAGGTGCGGGGTCGGCACGCCTGGGGGGCCGGGCGCCAGCTGTAGGGGACAGCAAGCGGAATGCCCTCCCCTGTATTCAGCCGCCTGCTGCCCCCTCCCTCAGCGACAGGATAAGCACCTAGGATGTAATGGCCGTAGCATTCTGTCATATGAGGCCACCGTCATTACTCGACCAGCTCCCAGAATCAGATTTTGAAGATGTGTCTATTTTTCATCATTATCTAAGGCTGCAGTGAGCATCCCATATACTTGAGGCTCCTTTGTGGATTAGTCTCCGAGGACTGGTTTCCTAAGATCCTCGACCATGGCCTTTTCCTAACACTTTTCACATACCTGCACAAGTTTCTTTTTTTTCTTCAAGCCTAAATTCTGGGTGAAATACCAAGGAGAGTGGTTAGCTTTCTGGAGGACAGTAAGCACTGAGGTCTGACTTTCCACTCACCAGTGGTGATTGCATCAAGGAAATCTTCCTGATCTACTGTAAAACCCAGGAAGCATTTATTCCACATGATTTTGCAAAAATGAAATAAAATTAGACAACACATGAAAAACTGCTTTGTCAACTATAAGGCAAAATTAGGATATCCTCGTAAGATATTATGACCATGTCTTGAACTAATCTAAATGCATAATACACAAATATATTCTCATATGTAACATGTATAACTCTTTTTTTTTTTTTTTTTGTACTAGGGATTGAACCTGGGACACTAAGCCACTTAAACACATCCCCAGCCCTTTTCAAGTTTTTATTTGTTGAGACTGGCCTTCAACTTGCAATCCTCCTGCCTCAGGCTCCCCAGTCCATGGGATTACAGGCTCCAGCCACCACACCCAGCTCTCATTTCACTTTTAGGGAAGACTATCTTAAAGTTTAAGGATGGTGATAAAAGCCTACACATTTGATGCCATAAAACTGTTGTTATCTTTTATGAGGGTCAGATATCTGTGAGAATCTGATGCTAGTGGTAGTCCCTTTCAAGACAAAAATACACATTCTTACTAAACACACAAATTCAGAATATAGACAATCATGGACATGTATTTCAGGTTACTTCTTTGGAGCTCTGTTTTTTTTTTTTCTGTACCCTGTGGAATTTTTTTTTTTTAAGAATTAAGCTAGATAGGTAGGAAAAACAACTTTATATTGGTTTCTGTGAAGCATAATTGTGTGGGGAAAGGTGAGGTTGGAGCAATTTAAGAAAATTCCTGAATCAGCATCATGGGTAAAGAAGCTTAAGCTTTGATCCACAGTCAACTGCGAGCCTCCTTTCTCCTGCAGAACACCACTTCCATCCATCTTTAAATATTCCAGTGCTAGTTCTCCTCCTTCCCAGACCCTTCTTGTAATACTGCTAACCAAGGAGCTCTTTTGCAGATCTGGAGCTCCCAGTCCAGGCCAACTGTGAGGCAGTTCCTGCTGGCTGAAAAGCTCCCCCAGGTCTGCCCATTGAGCTCCTTCCTGCTCACACTTCAAAAACTAGGTGCTAATAAGATACCCTCCTCTGATAAGGTGAATGAAATTCCTTTCACTGACACCTCAGTCTCCTGGTGTAGTGAAATGTGGAGAGGAACTCCCAATCCACTTTGCCTCTCTCTCTTTCTCAAACTGGAATTGTGAGTCTGCAGCAGGCACCACTGAGAGATTAAGCCCGCTTCTCCCTCCTCAGCTCTGGGCTCCGAGCCTCACATCACCATGGAAGTTCAGGAGAGTGGAGAGGTCCGGCTGGAGTGCACCTCCGTGGGGTGGTACCCAGAGCCCCAGGTGCAGTGGAGATCTGCCAAGGAAGAGAAGTTCCTGTCCACAACAGAGTCCAGAAGTCCTGACGAGGAAGGCCTGTTCACTGTGGCAGCCTCAGTGACCCTCAGGGACAACTCCATGGACAGTATGTCCTGCTGCATCCGGAACCTCCTTCTTGGCCAGGAGAAGGAAGTAGGGATTTCCATTCCAGGTGAGTAGAACCAGTGCTGACTCCTGTGTGGACACAACCTCAGGGTTCCCTGACCTGGAACCTGCCCCAATGTGACTTCCTGGTGGAGCTGCCCTCTTTCCCATCTGAGCCCCACCAGCCTCTTCAGAAGAATAAAAATTCAGAAGTCACAAATTCTACCTCTCTTTCATGTAGTCTCAGGCTTTCCATTTTAGGAGATCTACTTGAGATGGAGAAGCTCTGGGCCTGTGGCCTTCCTGACCGAGGTCCTTCTTGCCTTGAGTAAATAAGGAGACTACTTTTCTGGTCTTACCCTTTCCACCCTTGCCCTCCCATCCAGGGCTCCTCAAGGCTCCCACTCGTCCCTGGATGCCAGCTCTGCCTCAGGCAATGAGTCTCGCTCTGTCACACACAGAAGTGACCCTTCTCCTTCCTTGTTGACCTCCCACATCCCCCTGAAGTAGGAATTCTGTAGGAACACAACTTGGTCCATACAATCCTTTAGTCCACGTGTCCTGACCCCAAATGACTCGGTTCTTCTTCTCCTTCTCTGCTCTTTCTTGCCCAAGATCAAAACTTCCTGAAAAGCTTAGAGAGGCATTGGAGGGATTGTTTGTGCCATGGCAGGGATGGAAGGGACCCACTCTGTCTCCTCTTCCGCCTCCATCTGGCATCAGGAGACGAGTGGGACCTGCTCTGCTTTCGGCCAATGTTCCTCTGGGGACTTTGTTTCAGCTCCCATCTCCCCCAGGCTGACTCCCTGGATGGTGTCTGTGGCGGTCATCCTTGTGGTCTTAGGGCTGCTCACCATTGGATCCATATTTTTCATCTGGAGACTGTACAAGGAGAGATCCAGAGAGAGGAGGAGCAAATTCAGCTCTACAGGCAAGTCCTAGATCCTAAATGGGCTGCTCACCAGGGGTGCTTCAGAGGAAGGTTGGGTCCATGCCCACCCATTAGGACGACTTCCAACAGGAAGACCCTCGATTCTAGAATTCCCAAAGTCAGAAGAAATGTTAAGGCTTCTGAAATCATAGATACTTACAATGAAGAGAAGTCTGGGCCACAGGCAGAGTCAAACCGTTCCAACTGGCATTTGAGACCTGAATTTACTTACCACCCTTTCTCAGCCCAACCCCACCTCTAACTCAATTTCCCAGTAAGGATCTTATCATGGAAGATCTGATCTCAAGCCAGTAGGAACTTCCTGATTACTTCTCAGAAAACAAGACAGAACAAAGCCCTGTTGTAGGTTGCTGGTGGTATTTCAGTAGTCAGGTAGTCAGTTGTAAGTTAAACAGCTCCTTCTTTATGGGTCCCCTGTACCAGTCCCATCCCCTCCCTCAAGTCCATTATAAAAAGCCACTGAGGTGATTTTGTTTGTTTTCCAGAGAAACTCCTGGAAGAGCTCAGTAAGTTCTGCCTCTTGTTATTTCATCCAGTTTTTTCACTCTTGTTCAAAACCAATTGCTGATAGTCTCTCTTTCTTTGCAGATTGGAAAAAGGTGGCATTGCATGCAGGTCAGTGACTCAGGACTTCTCCAGGTCCCACTCCAGGAATTCAGTGTCCTGTGAGACGTGGACTTGAGAACATTAACATTAACATTCACTTAGTGAGGAGGCTAGGAAGGGGACCTTGATGGCACATGGCCGTGACACTTTCCTTGAGCCCCTAGCAGAACCCTGGAAGATGGCTAGGATGCCAGTCCCTTCCTACAGTGTCTCTTTGGGGACAATCAGCTCTTAACCATACTGTGGCTGCTGATCAGAGGGAGCAGACACCTGGGAGGCCAGACAGGTCTCCAGACCTGCACAGGAGACCACCAAGTCAGCCCACTGCTGTTTCTTTGGAGAAGGGAGGACAGGTCCTGTGACTGACTGCCACTGACGGTCACACTCTCTGTCTCTAGTTGATGTGACTCTGGATCCAGACACAGCCCACCCTCACCTTTTTCTGTACGAAGACGCAAAATCTGTTCGACTGGAGGATTCACGCCAGAAGCTGCCTGAGAATCCAGAGAGATTTGACTCGTGGCCGTGTGTGCTGGGCCGAGAGGCCTTCACGGAGGGGCGGCATTACTGGGAGGTGGAGGTGGGGGACAGGACCGACTGGGCCATCGGCGTGTGCAGGGAGAATGTGATGAAGAAGGGGTTTGACCCCATGACCCCTGAAAACGGGTTCTGGGCTGTGGAGCTCTATGGGAATGGATACTGGGCCCTCACCCCTCTTCGGACCCCTCTCCCATTAGCAGGCCCCCCTCGCCGGGTTGGGATTTTCCTGGACTACGAATCGGGAGACATCTCCTTCTACAACATGACTGACGGGTCGCACATCTACACCTTCCCTGGCATCTCCTTCTCTGGCCCCCTCAGGCCCTTCTTTTGCCTGTGGTCCTGCGGGAAAAAGCCCCTGACCATCTGCCCAGTGTCTGAAGGGCCTGAGGGGGTTACAGTCATCCCTGAAGCCCAGAACCTTTCCCAGGACATCCCACTGTCCCGTGTGGGGCAGGACTCTGCCTCTGGGGACACACACACTCTCCGTTCTAAACTCATCTCTTCCCAGCCCAGCCGAGGGGCACCTTAGGAAATGACCGGCTCAGCCACCTTCCCGAGCCCCTCCCCCACCTGGCAGCCCTTTGGTGGGAGCAGGGAGCAGGGCCTTCCCAGTCTGCTTCGGCACCAGGACTGGGGGGTGAAGAGCTGACTCCTACGCGCTCCAGTGCTCTCCTGTCGCTGGAGACGGGAACCTGTGGGGAGGAGGACAGCTCAGGGAGGGACAGGTCCACACGGGGGTGTGGCAGAAACACTTGGCGTCCAGAATACAGGTTTGAAGCAAGCAGAAAGCTCAGGGGGTTCGGGAAAGAAAGATCTTAGGCTAACATCCATAAAGAAGGCTGGAGGGGACATGATGGTGGAAGGAAAGAGGCCCCTGGATTTGCAGGTATGTATCTCACCTTCCAAGCTCTGCCCCACAGGATAGAGGACCTACTTTTATGGGGGTGGAGCTGTGGGAAAGGAGGAAGGGGAGGAGCTTAGAGGAGCAGGGGTGAGGGGTTGGACAGAAGGTGCGACGGGAGAGAACGGTTGGACCAAACTCAGGCCTGTGCATAGCCTCGGGCCCTGCTCCTCTCTGGGCACCCTCCTGACTGGCCCTGGCCTGGGTCAGACCTGACTCTCCTTGTTGACTGCACACGTTTCCCGTGCTCTTCTTTTTGATGTAGACCCTTCTTCTGTGACATCGCCACATTATAGACACTTTTCAGCCTCGTGCCCCCTCAGTCCTCACCTGTGTCCAAGCCCCACACACGCCTTTGGTCAGCGCCAGTCACCACCCATTTCCAGCCGAGCCAGTTCCCACAGGCTGCCTGTCCTGGGGGTGCCCCGAAGGCTGCACCGTGGTGCTCGGTGCAGCTGGGATAACCATGCCTCTCCTGGTCTCCTGGTCCCCTGAGCAGGCTCCTGCGAGTGGCTTGTCTTGCCAAAGGCCTGCAATTGTGTCCAGGTGCCGCCTTCCATTTCCACTGTGTCTCTAGCTCCCAGCGAGAGCCTTGCCCAGGGTCCTTGCCTAATAAAGAAGTCTGTGTAATTGCTGAAGGCAGCCTCTTACCTTTCTTTATCACAATTACTGAGAGTGAAACCAAACAGGAAAGAAACCTGGGTGGGGATGCAGCAGGCCAGAGCAGAGCCATTGTATGGGATCCCAGGACAGCAGCGGGCGGGGGCTGCTCCCGAGGGTCCAACTGCCTACCAAAGCCACAGTGCCCAGTGCTGCCTCCTCTGGTTCCTGTTCGGGTGGTGGCTCCACTTCTACTACCATAAGAGTAAGGGCCCTGATGCTGGGGAGGGAAGCCACCTCTCCAAGTAAATCAGCATTTTCCAGAGAGGAAGAAAGCTTGGGGAATTTTTATGGCTTGTGCCTTGTTGTTATTATTATTTTAAAGCATGGTGATCTGTGGAAACTTGCCCCAGGGAGGCTCCAACCGTGAAGCCCTGGTGGTTCCAGGAGGTGCTCACCTTCCTCCCTGCCCCAGGGAGGACCAGGAACAGAGGCTCTGATCTGAATGTCACTCACCCGGCCAAAGGGGCAGATGTGAAGCTCTGAAGGTTCACCAAATGCGGGACATCATCTCATTCCATTTGCACCACATTCCATTTCTTTTTCTTTTTTTTTCACATTCCATTTCTCATGGTTAATCTAAAACCCAGCTTTTCTAAATTTTCAATACCTGTGAACCTCAACGAGGATCGTGCCCAAGAGCCAGTCATTGTCGCACAGGCAGAGATTCTGAAAACCAGACAGAATTTCACCACACTCACTGAACTTCAAGCTAAATGCAATCTGGTCTACCCCTTTACCCACCTTGTCACTTTCCTGGCCCCACTCCATTTGTTTTCCTCCTGGCTTTAACATTCTCCTGCTGATTTGGGAGTAAACACCCGAGGAACAATATATACATAATCACATTTCCACACAGGCATGACTCGATTATTTTTAAAAGAAACTACATGGGCTTATAAACCTGGAGACCACAGAAGTTTTGCTCTGGGAATTGTTCAAGAGGAAAATACAGTCGAAGTTTAGGATTGGAAGAGACTGTTTACTCCAATCCCTCCTTTGAAGAGGTGAGGACAGTAAGACAGAAGGAATGAAGCGTTTTGGTTAAATCACACAGTAGGTGCCAGCCAGGCCAGCATCCAAAGGCAGGTGTCCTTGCTATCGCTGTGCAAGACAAACTGCACTGAGGGTCCTGCAGGGCACAGAGGACAGAAAAGTTAATGCAGGCTCTGGGGCTCCAGGAACCTCCTTGGACACACAGCCAAGGCAGTACACATTGGCTCAGGAGACTCTTAGGCCCAGCGAGGGACCCGAGAAGCAGAGGAACCCATGCTTCCTTTGACCTACACCAGGGTCTGCACCTGGGGAACCAGAAAAAAATGGGCTCTGCTTGAGTCCATTTTCTTTTGGGGACTGGGGGTTAGGAATTGAACTCTGGGGCACGCAATCACCGAGCCACATCCCCAGCCTTTTTTTTTTTTTTTTGTATTTTTAAAATTTAGAGACAGGGTCTCCCCAAGTTGCCTAACACTTTGCTGTTGCTGCTGCTGGCTTTGAACTCTCGATCCTCTTGCCAAGCTGCTGGGATTACAGGTGTGTGCCACCACGCCTGGCTTTGAGTCCATTTTCTGCTACTATAATGAACACCTGAAACCAAGCAACTTATAAAGAATAGCAGTTTACCTGGCTGTTGGTTCTGGAGCCTGGGAAGTCCCAGAGATGGCTCCAGTATCTGGTGAGGGCGACGTGCTGTATGAAATGAGGGTGAGGCAGAGCGCTTGATTTTTTAGCAAAATCACTCCCCATGAGGGCTGATCCATTAATCCCTGAATGCATTAATCCACTCATAAGGGCAGACTATTTATGTCCTGATCTCCTCTCGAATTCCATTAACACATGACTTTGGGACTAGGGAATGTGGCTTAGAGGCAGAGTGCTTGTCTAGCATGTATGAGGCCCTGGGCTCCATCCTCAGCACGGCCTCCCAGAAATACAGCTTTGTGGACCTTAAGGGTCACTAAGGGTCAAGTTCAAACCATGGCAGGCTCCTCCCTCCATCGATCCCAGCCCTGGAGCACCCAGAGTTTTCCTTTGTTGGTCCCATACTCAAACACTACTTCAGCCGCTTGCCCCACACGTTCTCCTCCCAGGAGAACATTCATCTCTGTTTTAAAAGCATTCATTCATGTTGAACTTGAACTTTTAAATTCAGAGAAAAACACAGTCCAAATGTCTTTTAAACACTTAGGAAACTCAAGCAATTGCACTGCTGGTTTAATAAGAATGAACATCCCAAAATGTATCTGTAAAATTTACCCGGAGTAGGAGCTCGGGTTGTGGCTCAGCGGTAGGGAACTTGCCTAGCATGTGTGAGGCCCTGGGTTTGATCCTCACACCACGTAAAATAAAGGTTCAACTACAACCAAATATATACATACACACACACACACACACACACACTATATTTGTATATATATACTACATATACTAGATATAATATATATTCTGTAAATATATATTATATATATACTATACTATATATATTATACTAAATATATATACTATACTAAATATATATATATATATGTTTATTTTTTTATTTTTTTGTAAAAATATTTATTTATTTATTAGCGGACACAACATCTTTGTTTGTATGTGGTGCTGGAGGATCGAACCCAGGCCGCACGCATGCCAGTGCTACCGCTTGAGCCACATCCCCAGCCCTATATATATGTTTATATCTTACCCAGAATAGACCAGGCTGCCACAGGAACCCCCCTCTGAGATAAAAAAGAAAAGGATCTTGGATTTTAATCAATCTCTGACTCCTTTTCCTTCCCTTTCCCCTGGATGTTCAAGGAAAATGTCCCCAGGGCCCAGGACTGAGCTGGTGGTGGATTCTTAGGGGACACCATGTCCTTGGTCCCCGTGATGCACTCCCATCCTCTCTGTGTGCCTCCCCCTCAGGAAGAACTTATGTGATAAGCTGAGACCTGCCAGTCTTTCCTCTTCAGGGGCACATCTGTCAGAAATGCTGCTCTGGACAGGAACAGGAAGATGACCAGTCTCACAGCTGTGACCCTTCTGAAGCGGGGAATTGTCCTCACCAGTGTGGGCCTTAGTCACCTGAGGCTGCCAGTGATACTAGGATTCAGCAGTAGCCCGGAGCCCTCTTCCACCTCCACAGGTTACTGACCCAAGGATGACAAGACTTGATTTTCCTTTTAAAACAGAAACAGTTGTTCCATGGCACCACTGAAGATCAGGCTAAGGGTGAAATACACTAAAATGATAACTGACTTCATTTCACACGACCAGGTGCCAGCTCTGACCACATGTTGGGGCAGGTGTCTGCCTCCGTGTAACCGTCTCTGGGAGTGAACTGAGCCCAGACTTCAGTTCAAAAGAGAAGAGGACTTAGGACCTCCCTCTCCGGGCCAACAGCAGTTCCTCCTGGCTCCAGGCACAGCTCAGCTCAGTCTCTTCTGCTCCCATGCAGCACATTGGCTCCTTCCATTCGCCCTTGTGAGAGCACAGTTGCCAACCCCCTCCTGCTTCATTCACTCCTCCCCTCATTTTATCATCTAACAATGAAAATAATGTGTTTTCCTGAAAACACATGAAAATTTATCCCCAAATAATTTAATTTTATAAAATTAAAAATATCCCCAAATCTCATCACATGAATATGAACATTGCCAAGATTTGGATTTATCCTCCTTTAAAAAAAAAAAAATCTAAGCCAGGCACAGTGGTGCATACCTGTAATGCCAGGGATTCGGAAGACTAAAGCAGGAGGATAGCAGGTTTGAGGCCAGCCTCAGAAACTTAGCAAGGCCCTAAGCAATTTAGAGACCCTGTCTCATAATAAAAAATAAAAAGGGCTGGGGATGTGGCTCCACAATTAAGCACTCTTGAGTTAAATCCCAGGTACAAAAAAAAAAAAAAAAAACCTCTTCTATATTTCAACGGACTTTAATTGCCTATTGGGGAATGAATTTCACTGCAGTGTGAATGCTTCCTGGTGTAGATGTGGTAGCTATGCGAGACACAGAAGGAGACTTAAGAAGGCCATGTGAATTGGTGGAAGGTGAGTGACATGCACTCGGAAACTGAAAGACAGACTGGCCCAGTTTGATGCCTCCTTTTAAGATTGAGGGTCCTTATTTTTATGCCATGTGACATAGAGGTAGATGTCACTCAAGTCTGTTGTTGCCTTCTCCCCTCTGGCGAGGTCTCCCAGATTTTGGATGGAAGCATGGTCATTGGGAATACAGCCAACATGTCCCCACGACCCTAGCATCTAGGTATGCCCACAGACTGTGGGCTGGTGAGTGGAATGTGAAAGGCAAGAGAGCCAGGCTGCCTCAGGGTCATGCCTTCAAAGGCAGACACCTGGGCTCCCTTCTGTGCATTCTGGGCTGGCCCTGTGGACTCATCTTAGATATGGCCATGTGAGCAACTGGCCAACACTGAGATGGCCCCTGACAGTTTCACCAGCAGAGTCTTCTTGGTATTTCCAGAAGAGAAATATGTTTCTTTTTGCCTCACTCAAGCCACAGTTATTTTGAAACTTTCTTAAATGTATCTGGAGCCGTATTCTAACTAGTGCATCCCCAGTGATTCGGTGCCCAGGTGAGAGAAGGAGAATGGCCCGGCTGGCCCGTTTGGATGCATCTGTTTAAAACAGTGTTTCTTATTGACTGAAATACTTATGACCCTTTGCCAAGTTTTCCTGCTTCATGAGAGTAACTGAACTTGTCCCAAAAGCCTCCGAGGGAGTCAGATGTGGGAACTGAGCAACAATAATCTGTCCCAGAAGTCCGGCTGGCTGACGCAGACAACACTTTAGGGTATTGCTATTCATGTTGGCTCTGGGCCTGCCTGCTAGATTCTTGAGCCCCACCCCAGGTCTCCTGAGTCAGAAACCCTATTTAAACTATATCCCCCAGGTGATTCATGGGCATTTTGAAGTTTGAGGATAGAGAAGTGTGCTTCAAAATGTTTAGCATTTACTTGGGGTAGAAGATCTCAGCGA